TGTTTCTTCATTGTGTCAGTTTTCACCTGAACCTTTTTATGTTCAACCTTTAGTCACATTCAGCCTTCAGTCTTTTCATCTCTTAGCTTAAGGTGGACTTTCTTCACTTTCATGTAACAAGTCTGAAGTTCATTTTATCTTACTGCTAAACTTTTGAAGCTATTGAAAAATGTGAGATTTCAGTCATAGTTACAATAATTGAGAATGTTGTTAAAGCAGAACTGGAAATAGTTCCAGAGATGATATTAGACATTTTGAAATCTTCACCAAAATAGTTTATTTACATGAATGAGGTTGGGTTTAGCTGCTGCATTATATAATGTGAGTTCAAGCTACATCATTTTCTTCACGCTCACCTAATGAGCTAAATCCTGAATAAACCTAAATCCTGCAGGATCCCGTTCCGGACCATCGTGGTGAGCCTGCTGTCCCATCAGGTCCTGCTCCAAAACCTCTATGACATCCTGCTGGAGGAGTTTGTCAAGCAGCCAGAAGGTCACGACAGGGTCACCCCTGTCACCTCTGACCCCAGCAGACCCACAGCAGGCTTCCTGCGCTACATCTCCATGACTAATTTAGCCATAATCCTGGATCTGCTGCTGGACTCTTACAGGTTACTGCATCATGTGCTATATGGATTTTGTTAATCTTGCTGGTTTACAGGATGCAAAAGGACAGTTAATGGTAAGATTCTAATGTTGGTCAGCTTTACACCGAGCTCACCAAACTGTTGATATCTCCTTCTGCAGGACAGCACGAGACTTTGACACCCGACCGGGTCTGAAGTACCTGCTGATGAAAGTGTCAGGTGTTTGTGGGGCAGCCAATTTGTACCGACAGTCTGCCATGAGCTTCAACCTGTACTTCCAGGCACTGCTGTGTGCTATACTCAGCCAAGCAGACAGCATGACCGCACAGCAGGTACCAACCAGCCACCAAAACATTTTAGAGATACTTTCTGACATGTAGCAGCGGAAAGGCCACAGAGTTCTCTAAAAGAACAAACCTGGAGCTAAAAGAAGCGCAGACATACTGGACTAACATTGATTATGGACAGAAACATGTCTCCAAACAGATGCTAATGCTGTTCTGGGGCTGTAATTGGTAACTGTTTGCTGGACGTGTTACCAGCATCAGAGAAAATACACATATCAAGTGTGAATAATCTTCAGTTTGAAGTTTTCAGATTATATTTGTTTTATATGAGAAATGTTTTGTTTTTTGTTGCTTTTTTACTATAATTTCAGTTCTGCTTTGTTTTGGTAGGTGTAACTAAAGAGGTTCAGAACAAGTATTTATATTTGGAGCAAGTCCATCACAAAAATAATATTACAATACTGCCAATTAAAATACTGATTAAGTTAATTTATTAAACCTAATAATCTGCACACTTTAGCATATTGACATCTAGAAACACTGTAATAACCATGTAGCAATAGCCACCGTGTCACTAGTGACAAAAAGTCAAAACTCCGCTTCACATTTGAGCCTTTCATTATGTTCAGGTGAAGAGGATCCTGTACGAGGAAGAGGAGGGTAGCTCGGACTCCTCACATCCAGGCTCTGGTTCCTCAGAGGATGAGGACATCTTTGAAGAAACAGCACAGGTGATACACACACACACACACACACACACACACACACACACACTCAGCTTCTGTTTTACAGTAACAATGGGTGTATGAAGAACAGTGATGTTTTTGTATATCAGTGACTGTGGTGATGTGTTGAACTGTTTTACACTTCCTAACAGAAAAACTCCTCAGACAATGATTTGATTTCTGTAGACAAAGAAAACAGTGAAGGTACACTTGTGGGTCACAGTACATCACAGGAACGCACACAAACAAAAATGGACAGTTTCTCTGGATTAATCCTCCTGTTATCTACATCCCTCAGAAAGTTTCCTGAACTTTTCAGCCTCCTAATGTAACAGGAAGAGACACGTGTTGTTGTGCTATCAAAAATCATGTCATCCACTTGTCTGCCCCCGGCAGGTTAGCCCACCTCGCGGTCGGGATAAACGTCATCAGTGGCGAGCATCCATCCCGTCGCTCAGTGTGCAGCCGCTGGGCAGCGCCGACTGGGCCTGGCTGGTCAAACGCCTCTATAAACTGTGCATGGATCTGTGCAACAGCTACATTCAGATGCACCGGGACTTGGAGAGCACGCTGGAGGAGGCGGCGTTGCTGAGAGGAGCAGCAGGGGGAGGAGACCACGTCTTCTTCCTGCCTCTCTTCCAGTCGGAGGCTTCCACCCCGACGTCAGCAGGTGGGCTTTCAGCCCAGGGAACACCCTCAGAGGAAGGCGGGTACCGGTGTCAGATGGCAGACACGAGTGCAGCGTCACCAGGAGACACACCCACACCCAGCCCAGGATTCAGGTCTGACTTCAGTCATATTATACCTCAGATGAGCCAGATTTATTGTGTTCATTCCACGGTAGTGAGTTGTTAACAGCAACGTGGTGTCTTGTTGCCTGGCTGGTGCAAGAGTGACTAGTTTGTGTCAGGTGGCGCACAGAATGAAGAGCAGCTCATTATCCTGGAAAGCATCTGCATTTGTGCTGTGGAGTCACAGTGTCAGATAGAATCAGTGTCCTCTGTCTTCACAGCTGCACAGGCAGTCTGCCCCACCACTGCCGGACTGGAGGAGAGAGGAGGGACCCCGGCGTCCCAGCCAGCTCAGTAGGAGGAGGGCCTGGTAGCACTGGACCTGGAAGGAGAAAGGAATGGTGGGAAAGCGCCGGGAACAAACTCTACGCCATCGCCACGGACAAAACCATCAGTAAGCTGATGATGGAGTACAAACGCAGGAAACAGCAGCAGCAGCAGACGCAGCAGAGCCACGTCAACCTGTTCATGAAGGAGCAGGGCCGGATGGCGGCAGCCGGAGGGGGGGTTGCTGGGGGGAGGGGAGGGCCCGTGGGGGCACAGAGGACCCCACAGCAGCTAGTGGACCAGCAGGAGCCCCCTCTGAGGCACTCGGTCAGTGCGGGACCTGAGGTTCTGAGGCAGGAGAAGAGGCCTCGCTCGGGGTCCACCATCAGCTCCCACAGCATCTCACTGAGGGACTCGGAGGCTCAGATACAGGTATGGTGTGCAGCCGGAGAACAGTCTCAGCTGGCAGGTTGACATCATAAACACTCTGCATCCGACCAATACAATAACAATCATGTAGAACAAGAATGAAGTGACTGCGTCCTTTGTCAGCTCATTTCAGTATGAATATCAAAGTGCAAGTTGAAGAAAGGAGTTTAAGCTTTAGACCCAAATAAGATTTATGCTAAGGTAAAGATGTTTTTGGTTTAGGATTAAGATCAGAGTTAACTTAGATCATGTTTGGTTAAACTAGGATTAATAGTAGGAACTAAGGTTTGTGTTTAACATTGAAATGAAGGTTAGTTTTGCACTAGGTGAACATTGTACTCCATACAAAATCAGATATTAAAGAACTGTGAAGATGCCTGACAAAACAACCCACATCCACTCAGGCTCACTTTTACAAATGAATGTGAAGGGACCTCACATGTGTAGTCGATACAATACATGTGTCTGAGACAAACACCTGTTTGTGTAGTGAGCTTTGTTGTGGGAATCATCTCTCTGCAGGCGTGGACCAACATGGTCCTGACAGTCCTCAACCAGGTCCTCCTCCTTGCAGACTCCTCTTTTCTGGCACTCCAACCAGCACTCTACCCCTGTCTCAGCCAGCTCTCCTGCCACGTGACTGATGCTCGAGTCCGCCAGGCTCTGCGTGAATGGCTGGGTCGTCTCGGCAGACTCTATGACATCCTCATGTGACACTGTGGCAAAGGACACGGACGGTCGGTCAGTGAAGGATGTACACAGACAAAAGATAAGCTCAGTCAATGCAGTGGACTTGTTCAGCAGCGCCACTGGGCTGTACGTTGCTGAATGGTTTGATTGGCTGATGATGCAGGAAGTGAAATGTTAGGCCGTGACATCATCATGTCACAAACAGTGAAGGGTTTGACTTGAAACTGTAACATGAACGTTTTATTATTGTTTCTTGCAACTTGACTGGAGTTGATGTCCACAAACAAATCATGCAAGAGAGTGCACGCGCGCACACACACACACACACACACACACACACACACACACACACGCTGTGTCAATGCTTTTAAATATGATTTTCTTTATCAGTTAGGAAAAACTGATTTTCAGAACTGATCCTAATTTTGACCCTGTATTGTCACAGCATCACAATATAAATCATAGCCTGACCTGAATGTGGATGCAAACATAGAAGTGCAGAGAATTGTGGTTATTGTAGTCCTCTTGCATACATTTTCCTTTACTGTAGCAACATGTTTGTGGTACCCTGTGGAGTTTCTTTGTTTAGAAGGAGCTACTGGACATTTACATTCATGGTACGGCTTCATTTCTGGGTTTGCTTCTGTCGGTGAGTTTTCCAACTTGTGGTCTGTTCTGTCTGAGATGTTTCACTTGCTCAGTATATTCATCTTTACGGCTTCTGTTCTATATTCATGTGCTAGTAGAGCATGAGATACAGTCAGAACAAAACTTTGCTTTGCACCACAAGTGGCCAAAAACATCACAGAGCACCTTAAAGGAAATAAATGTTTCAACAGCCTTGGGCCGAAAATGTGAGGGGGACGTCCTGTGCACGATCATTGGCTGACAGCTCATCTGAGAAATGTTATTACTGCTGGCTGGGCATAAACACCACAGCACTGTGCACCAAAGATGATGCTAAGAGAATCCTAGAGATCGCTAGAGAAAAATGTCATTGTATAGTCAGGTCACTGTGTTTTAAGTTGAAAATACAAACAAGACATGGTGTTAAATTTCCTTTTTCAGAATCAGAGTGGAAACATTACACTGAGTGGACACGTGAGGCTGCTGAGAATCAGTGTTTTGCATTTGATCTGACTGATTCTGTGTGAATGTTTGTTGCTGACATGCATTTTCTATAGCTTTAAATACTGTGCGGTCTCTAAGTTATTCAGCTACAACTGAATGTCTTTGTTTATTGCTCACACCTGCTCAAATCTTCTGCAGTGACTGTTTTACTGGGTATTTATTTAAACCAAATATAACATGCATTATGTGTGTTTTGATGCTTAATGCCTTCTACACACTACGGTATTTTGGCTGTTTATGCACATATTTATGAAAATGCTTTATTATTTAAAATGTGTCATACTGAGCATATTCAGTGTTTATGGAGGAGCTGGTTTTCACATTGATGAGGTTCATACTAACCAACACTGTACCACTAGTCTGAAAAGGAAGCTTTGTCACTGGGGTTTGTTGTTAATGCCAAACATTCATCTGGGTTTTTAAAAGGGTCCTGTAGGATTCACAAGCATTTACATCAGCCACCTCTGCCGCTGCTGCTGTAACAGCAGTGAGAGAGTGAGAGCAGTGTTGGTGTTCAAGCTGTTGGAGCTGGTTAAACTTCTACAAAGTGCATTCAGGTGCAGATAAGTGAATCATTAGGTGGAGCCTAATGATTCACTTATCTGTTTCTCTTTTTTCTCTAATTGAATCATCCTGTTGGTCTGTAAAATGTCAGAACCTGAGCGCCGAGGTGATGTTTCAGAAAATGTCTTCACCAGCCCAGAACACAAAGATACATTTGTTTACCATTCCAGAGAAAATCAAACACTTGTTACATTGGAGAGCAGAGTCTTTGGCATCTTTGCTTTATAAACAGGTTAAGTCAGCTGGATTTAATGTGCTGTCCAAACCCAGATCCATGTTCCATTACATTTCTGATGACCCACTGATCCTGAGTGTGCGACTCCTGTGACATCAAGACAGATATTGGACTCAAAACTTTGAAACATAGTTTAGCAAGATGACGTGTTATCTTGAGGAGTTCAGCCTGTGAAAACAGTTGTATAATGCTTTCAGTGGCTCTGGTGGAGCTTTCTAAAGCTTGAGAAAAGATCTCAGCCAGTTTATAACCAAATGGCCTGCGTTACAAAGTGGGACTTGGGTAACGTTGGACTAGATTCATGTAACGGAGGTTAAAGTTTAGACTTATGTTGTTATCTTCTCTATATTTAATGCAATGTTGTATTTTCATTAGTGTCCATTTGAAGATGGTTTGTGTGAAGCTGTTACTGAAATGGCACAGCTGTAATAATGTGTGACATAATGTATGTGCAGTATCGCTGCAAAACACCGGCTTTCTACAGATTCATGCAGGTCAGGTTGGCTCTTTGCTTCCTTCGCTCCCTCAGACCGAGATCAGCAGGTCAGCTAATGTTGTGACAGTCATTTCTAAAAGTGTATTTTTTCTGCTTTTGATATCTAAGACAAGCACCTGTAATCTTTCCACCTGTTGTTTCCAACCTGCTCTTGGCTTCCCCTTTTCCTCCTGAGCTCGGTCTTACAGCTGTGTAACTGCAGTGTGTTTAAACAGCTTCTCCGACAGACCTGTCTGCCCTGTGTGCTGCACAATAAAAGCAGTTTGTCTCGTATGTGTTCTGGTCTGTTCCGTAGTCTGAACCTCAGATCTCCACCTGCTTCCATCTCGGTCCCTTCAGAGGAAAAACAATGAATTGTGGGAGTTTGGGTTTTGGTGCTGCTCATTACACTACAAATACTCACACATCTAACCACCTGATAGTGCAACAGCAGACCTCATCATGAAGCCCACACAAGTCAAGGCAGGTATTTGAAAGCCCAATATAAGTGACTCCCTAGGTTTTACAGGCAAGAACATCATTAGCCTGATCCAACAGTGTAGTACTATATAAGGAGAGGAGAGCAGTCTGAGGGCGTGAAAAGAGAAACACCTGAGCCAGTACAAGTCTCAAATGGCGAGGAAGCTCTCCACCTGGTGAATATTCCAAACCAAGTCTGAACATGCTCCCTCACTCAGCACCTGGGTTATTAAATGTCATTATTATCTGGATTGCAAGCTAATCATGACAAATCTGTGCAGATTCTCAGTCATCCAGGTCATAGTAAACTGACATTCTTTTTTTTCAATCATGACAAAGGCTTTACCAGCACCAGCCACACCATCTGTCTCAGGTCACAATGTGGTGAAGACATCCTTATTGAAATCAAATCTGAGCAACACACGGCTCATGCATGATTCTGGTGAGTGCTGGATTATCCCCCCCATGTCATTCATGCCATTTTTTCATTTGTGACATGCATACAAGAAACACGTGCATGAAAAAAGCCACACGTCTATATATTTAAGAGCATGAATACACACGCAAAGTTCTCAAACTGCACAGAAAACCATTCACAGTTTACTGGAACCACCTGCATGTCAGTACTTGCCCCAACACTGCAGACTGTCTTTGCAGAGAAGAAAGCAGCTGGCTCTGGTGAAGGAAACGCATTCAGAGTGAGGTCCTCCAGCTTTCAAAGGTAAGGCCTGTGTTGCATTACTTCTCTCATTCTAGCGTACACTAAAATGTAAACGTAGTGACACAGAACAAGGGAAACGGGAATGTAAATGAGAATGCAAACTGACAAATCACTGACACCATAGGAGTGTGACTGTATAGCGTACTACAGTACACCGTCATCCAGCCAGTACTGCTGGTTTACTAGAAGAGTTGTTCTTTATGGTAGGTGTACTGTATTTGTGTGCATCTCACAGCTTTAGTCACATCACTGAACACTGTTCAATATGGAAAAACACTTGCTCCCTTTTCAGGTTTTATTCGGAACAATGGAATATTCCTACGCTACCACCAGCTCACCATACATGAGTTACGTTTATAGCAACACCACTGAGGTCTGCTCTGAAAACAACAACAAACCTGGATTCATCATGGATGTGATGACCATCATAATCATTTGTATCAGCCTTCCTTTGACCCTAGTGGCCATCTATGCTGTTTACTCTCTGGTGAGTACATTATGACAGACTGATTTCTTCTGTCTGAGTCTTGTCTCTGGTGCAGTTGATCTGGCCTGGAGGCTGGGTGTCAGGGGCTGACACACAGTCTTGTAATGACCTGCAAATTTACTCCGTAATTTAAACGTTCATACCCTCACACTAGTCAGAAGTCATGTGGAGCTCCAATCCAGCCTTCTCCTAAATTGTTGAGGTTAATAGTGCCATTACAACTCAAACAGAAACACCAAGTACATCACAACTCAGTGAACAGAACTATTTATTTGTTTTCTTGTTTTTTAATTAGCAAACAGTAAAGGAATGCATTGTATTTTGTAGACATTCGTGCAGAGAATGAAGCCTACTGATCTCATTCACCTCCAGTCCTTTCACCTACTGCCACCGTGAGGCTCATGGTTTTGATGTTTGTGAAGTATATCAACAAATATTGGATGGCTGTCCATGAGAAGTGATGCACTGTCACCACCAAGTCAAATTTGTAATTTTACCAATACTCTGGTTTGTGACTAAATCGCTGAAAACCAGGGACACAGTTGCTAACACGTCAGTAAATCTGGAAGAATGTACAGTTCTGGCTGCAACTACTGGGCAGAACGTGATGCCATCTTTGGGAGGAGGTGGAGTCCAGAACATGTTTACAACTGCTTTGTTTACTGTTGCCATTGTTTTCCTGTAGGTGCAAAAGGATAGTGCTGCTCCCATCTATGTGATCAACCTTCTTGTTTCTGACCTCATTCAACTCTGCTGTATGAGCATTGAGATGGCACAGTCTAAGGAGGATCAGATCCATGAGGTCTTCTTCCATATCTACTTCTTTGGTGTGATGGCCAGTGTTGGCTTCATGGTGTGTGTTGCCCTGGAAAGGTAGCTATCTGTTTGTGTATGGAGCTCCTCCTGTGTCTGAACAGTTGTTACTCTGACACTGCTCAGCTGTGTGTCTGTCTTGTATTCCAGGTATTTGGTCATCGCCTGGCCATTGTGGTACCACTTCAGACGGACCATCAAGATCTGTGTTGGGGTCTGTGTCGTGGTCTGGACCCTTCCATTTTTCTATCTCATCCCTGTCATTTTGGATGTTAATTTTCAGGTCTCACTAACTATCTTTGCCATCTTCTTCCTGCTTCCCTATCCCTTGTTCATATTCTTCTTGGGTGGGACCCTTAAAGCCCTGTCCGCTGCCAGCCGTATCCCCCCTGATGAAAAACGACGAATTGTTGCACTTTTGGTCCTGGTGCTGCTGATTTACACGCTGCTATTTCTGCCCAGCATTATCTGGTCCTTGATAAAAAAGACCAGAAATGACAGGGTCTTCTGTTATCTGTCTTACACTGTTATCAAGTTCAGTCCCCTTGCAGATTTGTTTCTGTATGTTTTCCTTAGGAAAGGGGTTGTAGACAAGCTTTTGGCCTCTCTGTGTTGTTGCAGAATAGACACGAATTATAACAGCAGATCAACAATATGAATGATGACAACATGCACACGTAGGCCTAGGGAGTTGTCTTCCTATGCTGCAAAGTCAGGTTCAGTCAGTCAAAGCCCTGTTGCTGATGATTTGTTTTAAAGGCTGGAATAGGAAGTTGAAGGTGACGAATAAATACTGTAGGCCTGAGTTGTGGGGGGGCTTTGCAATACCTTCATTTTTATTATTATTATTTTTTTAATCTGATTGAAGGGTGTCGTACTCTGTACAAATTTTAAAATGATTTCTGCTTTTGGGCTGTACAAATAAAAAGTGACTTGACTTGAATGTTTTACCTGGTTAGACACAGTCACATAAGGGTTAACATGTCAGCATCATGTGTACTTGGACCAAAACCCCTGATCTTTACTGTACAGTACAACTCTGCAACTTTTAATCAAGAATATTGACAACAATTTGTATTTATTCTTCATCCTGAACAAATAAGCTAATCTTCACACCACTATTTCCCAAACAAGCATTTAAAGGATCTGAGCTTACATGTATAGTATAATTCCACTCAAATGGTTGAAGACCCAAGTTAGTGACACTCTTCCTCTTCATGAAAGTTCTGAGAAATATACAGAAATGTCCTCATTTATTTGCACAAAAGAGAGAAACATTTATTGAGCAAGTCTTTGCTCTGGTAAATGTATTTGCTACAGTAGATGGTAAAACGTCAGGATGCTTTCTATTTGCATTGTGTGTTACACGTTATGCTGCTATTTGTGGAGACTAGTAGTAGAAAGGTATGTCATTCATGCAGAAGTCAGGCCGCAGGCTCTCGTACGTGCAGTCAGACGTGTCCAGAGCACAGCGGCCACAGTGGCAACTCAAAGCCACGGGGTAGCTGACAGTCGGGTCCACACCAGGAGGACAGTCAGGAAACTCAAAGGTCTTGTAGTACCAGTCTCGGTACGTGCACACATGCTGGTACACATTACTGAACGGTATCTTGATGACAGGGTCCTGGAGGGAAGCAACAATAACAAGGTGTGTTTATTCCTGAAGCATCATACGAACCTCTGCAACACTAGACTACTGTCGGAGCCCAGCTGTGTCTCCAGTCAGCAGGTGCCTCAGTGATCACATTCATTTAGCAAGTCACTTCTCATTTCCCTCTTTCAGTCCATTAACCCACAGTACCTTGGTGATGCAGTGACCACTGCAGATGGTTGTCTCCACTGGGTGACACTTTGGACAGCCCTCCTTCTCCAGAGACACTGTCTGGTTGATGAGCTGGCAGGGCGGCAGCTGGAAGGCCGCTGGTGATGGAGGGTATTACAGTTTGGTTCAAATACTGTACATCACTCACGGTATCTCTTTGTGCAAACATTGGGTTCCTGCTAACACAGTAGCTCTGACTGAACTGTTTATTACACACTGCTGAAATCACAGCATGGGGAATATTTACAAAAACACAACACACTTTTTTTGGTGTCCATTTAATGTTGATGTGACAGTTAGTCTAATTCATATGCCGGCCTGTCATGTACTAATATATACATATAATTGTATGTTTCATTGCATTTTAAATTTTATATATTTGCCCTTTTTTAAACTTAAGTTTGAGTTCAAAGGTCGTGTAAATAAAAGAAATATTTAGGAAATATGAAGTCTCCACTTTGTTACATCTGATAGAAGATACAATAGTACACAGAAAAAATCTGTACACAAATCTGGGTTTATTTTAACAGATGGCTAACTTGTCTTTGCTGTAAATATCTGACATTATTAAACATTATAGTCCAATGTAGTATAGGGAGAGAGACAGTGTATCAGTGATTTTCATGTAGGAGTACAGCCCTGTTGGTTCAGAAGATGTTTATGAAGGACAAAGGTCACTTAATGCTTGTTTGAAGTCAAAACCAGAACCATCTTTTTTTTTTCTTCCATCTAACCACTGAGTAAAAGTAGCTAAAAATGTAAAAATAAAATTCTGATTGAGTTAGAAGAAAGGTTTATTTTCAGTGAAAATTAAAAAAAAACTCAGCTCAGTATAATGAAAACTCTCATGCAGTATTTTCTTATTTACCAGCTGGAGCCAGAGGCCAAATGGAGGATGAGGCTCCCAGAAACAAATCAATCATCAGGAGGAACATCACTCTGCTGACTTGTGCTGCCATCATCCTGCAGGAGACAAAGTGGGTCAGTTGTTAAGCAGTTTATAGGCCATTAAAAGACATTTTTATTACAATATTAAAACTATTTAGTTTATTTTGCATGAGAAAGTTCTGTATTTCATTTTTCTTCTAGGTCAATAACTATTTCATACTGACTAACAGGGACAACTGCAGTCTTCATTGCTTGCTGTAAACATTCAGTAATACAGTAAATATTACTTTAATTCTTCTGAAACACCTTGGGCATATTAAAAAACAAAATGTATGAATAATTGGTATGAATAAGATTAATGACCAGGTGGGTGTTGGTGTAACGGAGCCTGTCTTACCTCTGTGGTGTCTGCAGCAGGTGTGCCGATGCTGCCTGTCCTGCTCAGTCTTTATACAGCACAGAGGAGCCTGGTATCCAGGATGAAACCTGTTTGGTGTCAAACTGCTTCAACCTCGATGACCTGTTTTGGTTCAGAGTGTACGTTATATGTAGTACAGATTTAATCTTTATTTAGCCAGCGGATTAGTATCACTTTGCATCCTGTTACACACAAATGAGCAGACAACATATCATAGTATTACAAGGCACCTTTGGAAGTTCAATGCTTTGCTCAGGGTCAAGTGAGGAGGGTCTAAACTCATATATCAGTGTTGGTCTATGACCTGAGGCTGAATTTTGTTTATTAATTTTATCATTGAAATCACAACCAACAAGGGGATAAATAAAATTGCTGCTAAGCAGTAAAGGGTGGCAATTGATATAGTCAGTTATTATACAAAGGATTCAAATCTCCCATTTAATTTTATTTTCTCTATCCTAAAATAACCAATTTAACTTGTATTCCTAATGGCACCGACTTCTAAAATTAATTGTTGTGTTGATTTGGCAGAAGTGCTTATTTTGGAATTAACTTTTATTTTGTAGGATGATCTATTAATCTGCTGCTGCTGGGGGAATAATCCTGTTTGATCAGTGTGGGATTACTGTGACATGTGGATTTCCTCTGGACATGGTTCATTTTGGGCTTTGACCCTGACAAGTGAAGGTGTTTTCATTGGTTGTGATGACCCAGTCTAATTCAGTTTTCTGTTTGACCCGTGGTGGAAAAAGTACTGTTTACTTAAGTGAAACTACTGTGTGCTTAAGCAAAAGTAGAAATACCATATCTGAATTACTGCTGGGTATCTGATGAGTTTCCCATGATGGATCAATGAAGTTTTATGATTAAACTATTTTGTTTTACTCATCTGATTCAGAAAATTAACTAAAGTTTTCAAATAAATGTAGCTGAGTAAAAAGTACATTATTTGCCTCTAAAATGTAGTGAAGTCATGGATAGAAAATAAAAATACTCAAAGTACAGAATAAATAAAATCAATGAATACAGTGACATCTAACAACATCGTTTTGGCATTGTTTCAAATGCAGAAAGGGTTCGAATAAATCTGCGGACAAATATTTAGTTTTATAGCTTATTTAATACCGCTATTTTCCGCTGAACCTAAGTAGGCCTATTTCAGTTCTTCGGAACTATACAGCAGCAACCACTGTTTGTAATCAGACACCAATGGGGAACGGACCCATTCGGAAGGTATGGCGCATGCGCAGAACGCAGTGTGGCAGTGGCCGCGGTTGTAAGAAGATATTGTTTTATTTAAACGTAAATTCATTGTAAATTTTGCACAGAGAAACCACGCAGCGGTGCAATGGCAGGGGAAGAAGAGGAGCGCAAGAAAAAGGCGAGTGCGTGAGGAAACTTTGCAAGGTTTAAATTAAAGTGTCAGAAGAAGAAGAAGAAGAAGTTGCCGTCAGGTTTTCACAAGGTCGTCCGTAGCAACTAACCTTCACATACTAGACTTACTACGTTTTAATGGTTGTTCTTGACGCCTCCTTGTTGAGGCCTTCGGTTAATCAGCTTTTAAAAGCTAAAGTTGAGTATTTCCTAACAAAGTAGTTTTAAATGCTTTTGTTTTCAAATGTGTGTCCGTCTTGTGGGTTGATATTAAGAACTGACCAAGTCACCGAATTTTAATCTCAGGATAATTAACGATGTTGATCTTAAATCGATTAGTGGTTCGGTAACACTTGCTACATCAGACATGGTCAATTCAGGGCAAGTCTCGTTGGAAAACCTAATGAATAAAGGTTAACTCTGGTTCAGATGCGGAAGTCTCGTCGCTTAGAGTTTGTGGAAGTATTTTCTTTAACTCTATATCCCATCGAAAAAATCGGCTCACACATTATTCAGACAAAGTGGCTATATTTCAATAAAGCATCGACAGGTTGACGTTTTTGTATTTGCTTGTTGTAACTATAATGTGTAACTGTACACAGGCTCCAGCTGATACTGAATGTATTCACTAAAAAACATGCACACTCTGCTCTCTGGACATTACATTCATACTAACATGTTATATCGGGGCCTCCTTCAGGGTTTCAAGCTGCTGGGGATCCTGGATGTCCAGAACACTCCGTGTGCTAGAGAGGCCCTCCTGCATGGAGCTGGAGGCTCAGCCGTTGCTGGCCTGCTCCACTTTCTGGTCACCAGTGAGTCTTACCTGAGTCTTGACCTGCCACTCAGCTTTTAATGTATCGATCTCAAAAAGGTCACTTCATTTTATTGCTGTTCTGCTGTACAAGAAATTATGCATAAAGTCTTGCTGTGTCCACAGTTTAGCACATACAAATTTGCAGTGTTGCCTTTTTCTGCCAGTGACAAACGCTATTGTAAGTGGTCATGGGAAGAGTTCGTTTATAGTCTGTGCTGTTGTCTGCAGGTCGAGTAAAAAGGTCTTTCGACGTGGGATTTGCAGGCTTCATGCTCACCACACTTGGGTCCTGGTAGAA